AAAATGCGTGAAACCAATTCAATGGTTGAAGAGTTCATGTTGTTAGCGAATATTTCGGTGGCCGAAAAGATTAATAGCGAATTCCCTGAATTTGCTATGCTTCGGCGGCATCCAGAACCACCACAGACCAACTTCGAGCCACTCATTAAAGCGGGCAAACATCTTGGTTTCGACATTGATACATCGAGCGGTAAAAAATTAGCAGAATCATTGGATAGGGCGGTTCGCAAGGATAATCCATACTTCAATACAATGTTACGTATCTTGGCCACGCGATGCATGATGCAAGCCGTGTACTTTATCAGTGGAACAGTACAAAAAGATGAATTTTTCCATTATGGATTGGCTGCACCAATATATACACATTTCACTTCACCTATTCGACGGTAATTATTATTTGCTTGTTATTCTGGAAATGGTTTATTAAATATCAATGCTCTGTTGTGTTAGATATGCCGATATAATAGTGCATCGGCTTTTGGCTGCGTGCATCGGTGCCGACAGTACATACTCTGAGTTGTTGGATAAGCGAAAGACCGCACTCTTGTGTAATAACTTGAATTACCGCAATCGGATGGCACAATATGCGGGCCGAGCATCGGTTAGTTTGAACACACATTTGTTCTTCCGTGGGCGCACCCAAGAGGAAAATGGATACATTCTGTTTGTGCGAAAGAATGCTCTACAGATTTTAATCCCGAAATTCGGTTTGGAAGGAACGATCTATCTGAGTGGTAAAAAGGGAGCAACACACAAATCTGGCGTTCAATTTGTTTTTGATGAAGAGGTAAACAAAAGTTCATGGAAAAGACGCATCAAATTATGTTTGTTTTCCAAGAGAAGAATTAACTGAAACTGTTCTTATTTCCCATTACCACCAGGATCATACACAACACTACAAAGAGTTTGTGTTCCGTGCGTTCGATCCGGTTGTGATTCGATTGAGTTTGGACACAACAAATGTTCAGCGTGAAAAGATTGTGTTTGAGCTGGTGCAACCATTCATTCCCGATTTCAGCATTGAACCCATGGACGTTGAACGAACAACTGACGAACAACAGTTATCCGCTAAACGGAAATCCATCGACGACTCAATCCCAACAGCAGACGATGAGACACAAAAAAGTCCATCGTCATCCAAAACGAAAGGGAAAAAGAATAAAAAATCCAAGAAGTGAATGAATAAAAAATTGAATTTTGATGTTTATTTGACAAAATCGGTATTGATTTGTTCATACATGCAAGCGATAAGCCTTGTTTTTTTCTCTTTCTTTTCATTTTTATTATTGAAATAAATAATATTTTTTTCTGAATCAATTCTCGTTGTTGTTGTTGTGTTGTTTTCTTGTCTGACTTAACATCTATTCCACGACCTTGTCCAACATCGAACTTAAGCTCAATCGCATCGAATGAAAAAGAGATTGTTTTTTTTTTAATTTAGTTTTTTTCTGACACACGCATCACGAATAAAAGTGCTGGAAACGGTGAAAAAATTCATGTTGGTTTTTTTTACATTTATCTGATTTTGATGTGTACGCTGATAGTATATTTTGGCTAGCCTTTTATTGAAAATCCACTTAAGAATATAGAAAAATTTGCTTCATTTTTTTTGTTAAATCGAATTGCTTTGGAAAAACTATTTGCGAGCTGTGTGCGGTTCTGGTGCAGTTTGAGCATAGCCCAATTCTTGCAAAGCCCTACGTATATCCTTGAACACCGATTGATCTTCGATAGTTCCAGGCAAAATGACTTGTTTGTTTCGGGCAAAGTCAGCCATGGCTTTCCTTAGAGTTTTTCCTGTGAGTTGAATAAAAGCATCGAAATTATTGGGCATTGTGATTCCCTGTGTGTTTTTTTTTAAACATACCAGATCGAGTTCGTGGCAATGCCACTATCGGTGCCACTAATCGGAATGATGCAATCGGTCCAATCACCTCACGAATAATCTTGATCAATTCAACGCCAATTTTGGTCGATGTTTTGTCGGTTGAATCTTTCATAATATACAAACACAATGGAACTTCGCCTTTTGTTGGTTCTGGTACACCGAAAACGGCAGCATCAGCCACATCTGGATGCCTCAATACTGCATCTTCCAAGGCCATTGTTGAAATTCGATGACCGGCTACATTTATAATGTCATCGTCACGTGCGGTGATAAACACATAGCCATTCTCATCTTTATATCCAGCGTCCATAGTATCGTAGTAGCCCTGTCATTGAAGGGAAAATTCATCAATTTTGATCCATACGGAAAATTGTTCACCCTTTTTCTAAGAATAAAACAAAATTAAACAATTTACTGGGAATTTCGTAAAGTATGTTTTGTCAAAGAGCTCATCATTTTTGTATAGTGTTGACATATTGCCTGGCGGCAATGGCAGTTTCACAGCAACGCGTCCAAGCTCATTGGGAGCCGCCTCAGTACCATCCGGGTGTAAAATATCAACTGAAATTCGATACGAAATCAATTCACATTGAATTCTGTGTGGATTTTACGTTTTTTTCTCTCATTTTCTTCGAATGGTACTCACTTTTGTATCCAACGAATGGCAAACCAGTTGAAAATGCTGGTTGATGTGGACTGTGATTGAAACCCAAGCAGCTAGCTGTGATAGCAGATCCAGTCTCAGCTAAAATGGGAATTCCACGAATTTTAATCACATGGTAAACAAAAGACTTGAATGGAAGTGAAATTGTGGGTTTGTGTATATATTTTTACTTTGCCACCAATGATTCAATACGGGCACACGGAATGTTTTTCCAATCCAATTTTTCGTCTCTAAATCACAGTGTTCGCCGGCTACAAAAATAGTGCGCAATGAATCGATGTTGTACGCTTTTCCGAATTTTACATCTGGATCAACACGTCGAATGACACGAAAAGCCGTTGGAATTGAAAACAATGCGGACACCTTGTGCTGTTCAATAATGCGGAAATATTGACCGGGGTCAGGTGTTCGATCGGGTTTGCCCTCGTACATAACACTTGTTGCTCCATACAAAAGTGGACCATAGCAAATGTACGAGTGTCCAACGACCCAACCTTGATAGAAAATGAAATCAAATTTTTATAAATAAATACTCAAGCGAGTTAAGACCAAACATTGTTATATGATACTTGCCTAAATCAGAAGCCGCCCACCAAACATCGGATGGTTTGAGGCCATAAATAGCGCTCATTGTATACATCAGATTGACTAAATGTCCACCGGTTGGACGTTGTACACCTTTTGGTTTGCTCGTCGTTCCGGACGTGTACAACAAGTACAGCGGATCATTTGCTTCGACCGGAACACATTCGCATGGTTCGCTGTGTGCCAACAAAGTTTCCCACAGCACATCATTCTTCGATATCAACGGCGAAGTCATAACATTTTGTCGTTGATAAATCACACTACAAATTGGTTTCCATTCCGACATGGTCAATGCATCGTTCAATATGTCCAGGTATCGAATGATTTTGTTGGGCTCAACTCCACAATTGGCAGCAATTATGACCGTTGGTTCAGCATGTTCGATTCTAGTGCATAGCTCACTTGCAGCAAAACCTGAATAAATAATTGCGAATGTGTGTTATTGCGCGCACAAAAATTCTATTGTCCATTTGGCCAACAATTTGAACTTTCAATCAAACTTTTCATTTTTTTGCGTAATTATTCAGTTACAATCGCACCAAAATCAACTGTCCAATGCATGCCTGCACTTCGGCCGACACAGACACGGAATCGCTGTCGCTTGATCACATTTCCCTCCCCGAATTAATATTGTGGGGAAATTTGCATTCAATCGAAAATGACAAACAAACAGTCGGAATAAATCTTGAGCGTACAATTCACAGCGTCGTCGTCGCCGTCAATTCGGGTTCATATTATTCATCGTAAATGAACGATGAACACACAACGAATGAAAAAAAATCTATTCGAATTATCGAATGTTCCGTATATCCATTTTAAACGGACGCGCTTCTTCTTTTATTTTATTAGGTGTCAATCGTGTTGACCTTTGGTCAGCATGAAAACGCATGCATAAGCAAATATTCAACGCTTATTTTATTCAAAATGGAAAATTTAATGTTTTGTTTTTGCGTTTGTGTGTGTGTGTGTGTGTGTGTTGTTGTGTGCTAGTGTAAAAATGGCCAAAGAACTGAAATCAATATCAAAACCGACAACAAACGAACCGAAAAAAAAACACATAGAAAGCACAAAACTTTATTTTTGTTCGCCTGTCGATGACGGCAAATGTGTAAATTGAAGTTGACGAACTCGGCTGTCGCTTACGCGTATACGCGGTCACTGATTTCACAGTACATGTATAACGGTATCACGGTCATTTTGGGCAATATTTTCCTATTTTTGCACACGAATTTTTAATTGCAACAGCAATAATGACAATCCGAATACTTACCGCCGAAAACAACCGAATGAATGGCACCAATCCGAACGGTGGCCAACATTGCCATTACAGCCTCTGGGATTAAGGGCATGTAGATAATTACACGATCGCCTGTTTGAAACGGAATAAAATGAGAACAACAAACAGTGTTGAGTTAATCGAATGCAATGAGGATGAAAAGTTCAATAGAACGGACTGTTTGTTTCATGTTACCTTTTTTAACGCCCAACTTTTGAAGACCACCAGCAATGCGAGAAGTCTAATTCGATGTAACAAAACAACAACAATTTCAAAATTATGTCTATGGTTTAAATTGATTCTAGTATGCACATTACCGTGTCGTAGAGTTCTTGGTAGGTAACTTTGCGAATGGTATTTGTTGTTGGGCTGTCATGAATGATGGCCACTTTATCACCATTTCCGGCAAGAACATGACGATCCACACAATTGTAACAAGCGTTCAAGTATCCACCGACAAACCATTTTGTAAACGGTGGATTGCTATTATCCAGCACTTTTTCAAATGGCTTATCCCAATGGATCATTGGCGGTGCAGCAATTGCTCCCCAAAATTCTTCTGGCTCTTCAATCGATCGCAAATAAGTGTCGGAATAAATGGAATTCGAACCACTCACAAAATTGCCTATCAAATCCAAACAAAAAAATCTCATAGACCAAGAGCTGTTGAACAAAGTACTTACTATACAAGCTTCATGTCAGATAATGGAATTGTAGGTGCACATTAAGGCCAATATTCAAAATATCAATTTGTTTTATCTTCATTTGATACACATCACAATATCTGCACGCCGATAACAAGAAGAAAAATCGCTTCACTTTTCGTTCAAGCTTTAAGGCAGATTTTTTGTTTACTGATAAATTCGTACAAGGATAATTCAAACACAAAAAATCTGCTCCAAACATTGTACACAACATTTTTTATTTCACATCAAAGTCTCATTCAATTCAAAGAAGTGAGGTCATGTTGTAATCATGTCAAAATGGATAAAATGCATTACAAACACAGACTTTGCTGTGAAATAAAAAATGTTGTGTACAATGTTTAGAGCAGATTTTTTGTGTTTGAATTATTCTTGTACGAATTTATCAGTAAACAAAAAATCTGCCTTAAAGCTTGAGCGAAAAGTGAAGCGATTTTTTTTCTTGTTATCGGCGATCAGATATTGTGATGTGTATCAAATGAAGATAAAACAAACTGATATTTTGAATATTGGCCTTAATGTGCACCTACAGTTCCATTATCTGACATGAAACTTGTATAGTAAGTACTTTGTTCAACAGCTCTTGGTCTATCAATTTGAAAACTTCAAAATTAAATTTAAAAAAAAACATTTTCTTACTGAAGCAGCCGTTGAATGTAGAATTTTTGGACAATGTGTCCAAATTACGTGAAGACGATTGCATATCGATTGGCTTTATTCAAATCCACTAAAAGTTCACTCAAACAAAATTAAAAGCGTTCACCAAACAAAATGTTCAAAATTTACTTCCGACAATATGCGCTCCGGAATTTCAATTGAAAAAATCGGTGTTTTGTTTACGAACGAAAAAATAATATTGTATTAAGAGATAGAGAAGCAACGAAAAAAAAAATGTTGTCGAGTAAAAATAAATGCAGTAAATTTTGTCGCGAGTTACGATCGGCTCGAAGTACTTGCGACGACTAAATGCAACAAACGAATCACAATAGACTATTAGTTTGAATGGTTGTCACTTCCACCGTCTCCAAATCACTAATATTCCTTAGCCACGGCTCGCTGTTTTACATGTCGGCCGAAATGGACTGCTAAGTGCCCCGTTGCTGATTCACATTGAAACTCATTAACAATTAATGAATATATTATGCGAACACATTTGATCGCTTGCATATATTTATCGTTGCGGAGTTTTGACACAAATTCCAGTGTTCATTACACTTTGGCCAAAACCAAAATAAATTATATCAACGAAATGAAATCGGCCGACGTCGAAAAATGCGAAAAACGTTACAAATCAACGGGGTGAGATGGTTTGATGGAATTTGGTATGAAATAGGAGGTTCAAAATTGTTGAAGGATGTCTGTTTTTGGACGGGCCGAGGCAGTTTGTTATGGTTTTCCATGTAAACGGTAGAAGATAACAATTTAGTGTCTTCGGGAAAAATGGAGCACTCAAGATGCTCTATAGCCTATTGCTGCAGACATTTATACCAGAAACAACAACAAACTGCTATGTGTTATCGATCTCTAAAATAAACGTGCATTGTTTTATTGAAAAAATCCCCAAGCAATGAGAAAACAGTTGCTGTGAAACAGCTGAACGTTGCTGTTCCTCATAAATTTTAAAAGTATTCGGTAAAATCGATTCGAATTATTGGCAGAATTTCACAGTGATTTTTTGCCTTCGTAGTTGTTCAGTCGGTGGCTTTTTGACCAATGTCATTATCCTGATTATACCTGACTTGTCGTTAACAATTTGTTTACATTCATTTTTCCGTGATGCATTGTTTTGAATTCACATTTTCGTTGGTGTTTCACAATTTCTTTTATTCAAGTAAAACTGTTTTCGTTGCAAAATCACTTTACATGATAATAGTTTGAAAAAAGAAAAGAAAAGAAAAACGTGACATCAACCGAAAAAAATATATGGATAAATGCGTTAATATTGCCTTTAATATGTACGATATAATTTGCATAAGTGCCACGAGCGAAAATTATAAAATGTGGACTTCCTAGAAATACAGTTTTTTTGTGTTATTTACTTGTTTTGTTCCATTATGATATGATAATCGAGAATGATTTGTTTTTGGTATTAAATGGCTTTAAAAAATTCATAATAATTGAAAACAAAAAAATCTCCATACTACGTCACCATCATTTAATCCAAATGGAAAGTGCGACTCAAATCATTGATACTGTTTACTTGAATGCAGTGATTCGATTTTCACTTAAATCGCAATAAATATTAATGATGTTACATCTTCATCCATCAACGTGAATATTCTTCGTTTATAGTACGTCATCGACGAGGATTTAACAGAATGAATGTTCTGCATCATCAAATAGAAGGAAAAATGCAATTGCTGACGTCATTCGATGGTATTGGAGAAAAAAGGATGAAAAAATCACTTTTATGAGCATTTTTCTTAGCAAATAATAAGCATAGAATGGTAACCAGAGTCATAACGTTGGCCTGATTGAACTTGCAATGCTGACACCGCTGAACTCTTGAACATTTAAATTTTCAGTGGTTTTCTATTGTAGTCTATCACGCATTCTTTATATGTTCGTTGTCCCTGCTTAGACGAAATTAGCAAAGTCAAAAGAACGAAATAGAAAACAAATTAACGATAATAATGTTAAGGATTGTACACATACTATATCTGATTGGATTTTATTTAAATCTATTTATAGAATGAATGTTGATATTCGACATTCGATGTGTGTTCGACGGTTTCATCAATTGTGATTATTTAGAACAGGTAGCTGCTGTGGGTGATTTGTGTATTGTCGATTGAAAAATGGCTTGAGATAGATGACAAAAGGTGAATGTGATTTGAATGGAACGTATGCACGTCGAATCGGCGTAGAGCGTTATACGTTAATATTGGTTGTGTCGCATTGGATGAATAATGCGTTCGGGGGAAAACAACATTTGACGTCATACACACTATCGTATCCTATGGGTTTGTACTTATTTGGTGTTATTTTATTTTCCTGTGCTGTTCGGGCATGTGTCCGGGCATTGATTTATGACACCGAGAAAAGAAATCGCAACAAGTCATATTCATTTATGAAGCTCACTTAATTACACTCAATATCGAATACACAAGTATTCTATTTTTTCGATCGCCAAGTAACTGAACTCATAATGAGTTCATTCTATCACGGACTTGTTGAATGCCTTATCTCGATATTTTTTCATTGTATTACACATATTCGAGTTCTCACTCACGCTACAGAATGATCTTGTGAAAATCACCCTGCAATGACGTCGAATTGTACGCTGAATTGTGAGCATGAACGAAACGAAGCGTCAATGTAAATCTATGGATAATCGTACAATTGGATATACAAAGGCATCGACGGTATTTATCTCAATTTTCGACTTGATCCCTTCAAGCACACCGAGGCGGGAGATTTTTTTTTTAGTAAATAAAGCCAAATTGAATGAAAATTAGTTTAAATCTCGTCGGAAATTAGCTGAGGCGAAATCATGGCTTTTGGCACTGGTTTTGAATGAATTTTCAATGGACATAACGTCCATTCTTAATTCACACCACCCCATTTTGTAATAGACTTTTCAGCCGTTTCCAAGTTGACGAACACAGTAGACTCAAAGCAAATTCATTGTCAACAACATATTTTTTTTTTGCAAATACAAATGTGCGTCTTCATTCAACAATGAATTCGAGATTTGATTCGGAAAAATAAATAAATGTTTCTTCGTATTAGCACATTTCCATCATTGCCAAGGAATGATTGTTAAATGGCATCATCTGACCTAAAAAAAATCAATTAGTTTAATTGTTTATTGGTATTTAATAGTGTAATGGTTCTAGTTGTTGAGAAGTTGCCTCGATGCAATACACAGATGCACAAATTGCCTGTTTTCCGAAAACTATCCACGCGTCCCCGCTTAAATGGCACATATCAATTCATTCTGTAGCATTTGCGTATCGAGCTGTATGTTGTCGATGTCATTATTTTCAATTTCGCAAACATGGACTTTCGAATAATCAATTAGATGGTAATTGTGTTTTAATTGGCTTGTAATTAGCCAGGGATATTGTTATTATCGGTACTTAATGCCTTACATTTGCCGTGCATTTCCACATGTTTCATCAAAATATTGAGCATTCATTTAATTTTATGGAAGATAGTAAAGCTTTTGTTTCGGCGAATCAATTTCAAAGTCCAATTCTCGCCGAATGAAATCTAGGAATTGTCTTTGTTTACGCGATCATTTCAGCAGGTAGCAACGGCTGATATTAGAATTTATGATGTCATTCATGCAATTTAGTTAATCTCTTTTCGAATTTTTATTACACGGATGGAATGTGTGAATGAATGCATTGCAAGCGTACGACTCATCGTATTTTGTTGACGTAATACACGCGTTCGACGATAAATACATTTTACTCAATTTTTATAGACGATATTTTTATAGTTTTGCTTAGTTTTTATAGACGATTTCAATGTAATCATGACTAAAACTTTTGTCCAAAGCAAATACACACCGATACATTGGTGTTCTGCATTAAAACATTTGAGTTGAGCTGTGTTTGAGGTTTATTTTACAACTGATTGGAACATTAAAAAACACGCTTCATATATACTAATTGTTACTGTTCAGTTGACCTTGAATGGTCACGTAATTATGGTTGTCAGTTTTACAAACATAAAATAGAAGATAATTACGTGACTTATCAACAAATATTCAACTCTTCAAACCAATATGTGAAGTATGAACAATTGGTGCGAAAGCGAAAATTTCTTCCAAATCATTACGCGCTAAAACGTCATAAGGGCTTATTTTCTCCGAAAATAAGACACTCCAGTCCCAGAGCTAGAATTATCGGTCGCACCTATTCTATAACACGTTGCAACAACAATAACCACAAGCACGCAAAAAATTATGACTAGAGTCATTGGCAAAAAATGAGAAATATGGTAGTGAGAGAGAGGGGTACAGCTACCTATGAACGGAAAAAAAAATTGTCGTTTGCAAATAGCAAAAGCTCACGGGCAAAGTCTATGAAAAATCACCAATTCCAGAATGAAGAATAATGAATTGCGTCGGCGTGCCGATGGATATGTGTGTTCACTATTCGGATACGCAACAACAGCAATGGCACACAGGCCACCACACCGACTGTATAAAAGTGAACGAGATTGCGTTGATACGATCATTTCAGTTCGAATGCTCGAATAAAGTAGTAATCGAATACGAGACAACCGATAGAGAGAGAGAGAGAGAGATAGTACTCAAGTTCATTTCACTTCAAAACCAAGCGAATCCGAGACACCAGATCGCAAGCAACAGGAGCGAAAACAAAACCACCGGTTGCACATTCCGTTTTTTTTTGTACGTGAGTGATATCAAGCAGTTAGTGCGTGTGGTTCAGTTTATTTTTTTTCTCAAACGGGTAGTGAACAGAATAACAGGTAAGTGGCAGCCAATCAAACCAAACCAAAAAAAGTAATTCGGAAATGCATTGTATTTCAATGGTGTGGAATGTCGGTGTGGAATGCTTATCTTTGAGCCTTTTTTTCTCTCGCTTTGATAAAAACCAAATCAAACGCTTTTTTCATTATTTTTTAATTTTAAGTGTTTCCATAAATCACACACATTCTATCCGTTATGAATCGACCATATGTGAATCAGCAGAACATAGACGTAAAGAATATGTGTGTCAACCATTCAAATTTCTTTGTATTCCTCTCTCATTCTTTTCTGTCTGCGTTGCTAAGGAATATCATCGCATAAAAAAGTATTATTTTGGTGTTATAAATTCATTGAAAAATATCGAATTTTACGCTTGGGTTTTTTTCCTCTTCAGTACACACCACACACTATGACATGGTTCTAAGGTCAACTTGAATATGACTAGAAACCATATAAATAGCTGACCATATAAAATAAGATTGCGGCAAAAATTGGAAAACATCACATATTGTCTGGCTGATTTGGTCGCGTTATCAGGATACTCAGATGCCGTCATTTGACACAAACAACATTCTTCGGGAAGAACAAATTCCACTCAAACAAATAGATACACAAAAACACGAAGAGACCCACATAGCGATGTATACCAAATCATTTTGTAAAACAAATTCAAGTGGCCGGGCTAGATGCCGCGTGCGATAATTGTTATTGCCACTTGAAATCAATAACACGCTGTAGTATTTTTATTTTACACATACCAACCATATTTTATCAATTTGCAAGGCGCCACGCTTCCATTGAAGTAGTTTTGGAAACTTTTTTGACCCCGCTCAAATGACAACAGGCGTTTTACGCTTCCTCCATAATAATAATAGTAATCTCCGGTTGGATGGTGCTCAAATTCAATGAAGCTCTCCTCATCGAAACTTTTCTTGAAAAAGAGACGCCAAAACGAGGCTCACCTCAAATCAATTAAATCAGCATTATTGTATACTTGATGCGAATTTAATTACGTTAACCGATTTCCTTTATGTAATTTGATCGAATATTAAGGCATTTCACAGAAATAAAGAGAAACAAACGTAAAGGGATGATGGAATTTTGATTGTGAAACACGTCGAAGCCTTGGGAATTGTCTGGAGATTTGACATATACGTAGTTAAAATGAAATATTCGAGAGAATTGAGATCGAACAGTTCTAGTTTTGGTTAGCGTTCCGTTAGTTTGCTTTATGACCACCAAAATGCTAAAGCAATAACCACCGTCAGTCGCGTAGAAAATACACTATTTGTCAAATAGTATTTGATGAGAAAATATTGGATGTTTTTTTCCCTTCTCTTTGGTTTCAATCACGACGTCATTACGTGCACAAATAAACTATGCCATTCAAAATGGTCCACATTGCGAAGCTTTCATTACATATTTTCTCTTCTATTCATATTTTTATTTGTTCAGTACAAACCGATGATTCGATCATTGTTGTTTGCCGTTCTGCCAGCGCAATCGTTCCTCACCATTTCCAATTGTAGCGTTTGCTAAGCGAGAAACGTGCGGCACTTGCAGTGGTTCTTGATTTCATTTTTATTCGGGCTAATTTTCCGGCCACTTGTTTTCCCCGATGAATTCCGCTGGAAATGTGCTCAATCCCAAGGAAAAAATCGACGACGCAAACATAATAATAATCGAAATGGCACAAAAATCAGCACACCGCATTTGTTGGCTATGTTTTGTTGCAGAATCGATTTGAATGAGGGCGAGAAAACCCACAATCGATGTATACATTTCCATTGTGTTGGCTCCGGGTTTCTCGTTTCACACGAGTTTCTCGTGTCTGCCTTCTTGCTTCAAATCGTGAATGATGATGGAATGTGAAACCAAGCCACAGGCCCAAATAGCAACAGCCGCATTTTCCATTCCAAATTTTAATCAGGGAACACGTACATATGCATCAGGCAAAGAATAACTATAAATGTTACGGAACACGATCCAAAACACATTGATGGTTCAGTCAAAATAGTGCCAAACTATGAAACCAATATAAACGAAGCCTTTTTGAGCAATGCATTAGAATTTCAACTATTACATTACAATGCATTTCGTGATAACAATGTCAATACTGTCGCTTTTCATTGAAACACCCACGTGTTTAAAGTACGCAAATAAACAATACTCCCCTGAAGAAAATGCTTTTGAAAGAGAAGAAAATGATTCCATGACAAACTATTCGATATTTATGGAAATAAATGTTCGTATCGACATTTGGCGTGGAAAACTACCAGATCCTCTTAGTTGAATTTGCAATATCTTCTCTATGTTAATTTTCGTGGAAATTCGTATGCTTAGTTTATCCATAAATAATGAATAGAATAGCCGATGATATTGAAAAGCATGTCCAAAATCATGAATAACAAAATTGAAATCGTTTGTATGAAAACTGCGCATTTAAATATTTGTCCACATTTGATGTGAACACCGGTCCATATGTGTGCTTTTTTCGCTTTAAAATTTACATGCGTTGATCTGTTTTAGATGTCATTATCACGATTCCATATCGATGGTCGATTATACTGATTGAAATTGAATAGTTTACATTTTTTTTCTTTCTATATTTTCAAATAACATCGAATCCTGAGCAGATGCAAATGAATTTTCATGCATGGGAAATGGCGTTGAAATCAAATTGAAAGAGTACAATGACTTTGAAAAAATGAAGAGTATGAGGGGCGAGAAAATAGACTGTACTGGGCTAGAATGGAATTTTAGTGATAAAGTTGGCATTTTCACCATGGCACGCAATAATTTGAAAATCACTTCGTTTATAACAACTGCGCACACGTTCATCCACTGAGCAATAGTGTATCCGTCTATTGCGTCAATTGTTTAGCCTCAAGTCGTAACAAAGCTTTTCATTTTCTTCAGAAAAAAACGAAGAGGATGAATCCGCTACTGGTCAAGAAATTGTTCTTAGTAATTACCTGCGGTTTGTTCGTGACCGTGCTGGAATCCCCAAAATTTTCCACTCCAATAGGGCACACAAAAATTGTTTTTCACCGAATCACATCCATGAAATCTTGTTTCAGCCTGAGGTGAGATTTGTTCCCAAGCACTGTTGTTTTCGGCTTTGGTTTAATTAAAAAACGGGATTATTACATTTGGCAGAAATTGTGGATGTTACGATTCCATGCCAATTTTTAAATAACATTTCGGCGAAAGATTTTCAGAAACATTTCGTCCATTCAACGATAAAGAAAATGATTACCAGATTTAGCGAATTCTATGAAATTGACGTCGAAACAACAGGAAAAATGGACAAACCAAAAATGAATGGAGCATTGTGAGCGTGTGTTTTTAATTCTAAATTCATTCAGAAGAAACGTATAAGTTGTACAAATATCCGAATAATCCAAGTCAATATGCGAGAATGCCATCGTTAACGTGGGTTTGTAGCCATTGCAAAATGGAATTGGATTATTATGTGATCTTCACAAGTCAATACGAAGAATTTGGTTTTTCTTCGAGAAAAAAAAAGAAATGGCCACAGGTCAGCTCGTTATATTTTATAGATTCTCAAGAGATGTTCAACATAGATTCCATAACAAGTACACCGTCATACCGTCATATTATAGCGCCATGCTGAAGAAAACACGAGAATAAATTCTTGTGTGTCAAAACATTTTGTTGGTTGATAGAAAAAGAGAAATGGGAATAATGCACACACACAATCAATTTATAGATTCGTTTGAAATTTAATGCTGACGGGAAAGACGGCAAATCGGTTTAAATGCAGACTATCTCAAAGAGAATATATAAAGCGGAAAATGGCTGCAACAACATATTTTCATGTGTGCTGCTGCGATTGTTCTTTAATCTGCCATTACACATGAGGCACATAATCTATGTTTGCCAAAGCATTATGTAGTGTGAGATAAAGAGTGTATGTGTGATGTCTCTTAAAAGCCTTCAAATGCACTCGAATCACTAAGTTAAGGATTTTTTATGCTAAAACGGTACTAATAACACACAAAAACCTCCGCACGTTCAACATGACATCTGTCCAAATAGCCGACATTATGTGCTTTTCTTATGATTTTGTTTCCGTTTCATACTCCAGAAGCACACACACACACACACACACAAATTGGCCATCGACTATTTGTACACGTAAAATAAGCCCACACCATCACCATCGCCAGAGATGTCAGTAATAAATGAATCACTTGGCATCTGGTTTTCGTCGTGTGCAATCCATATTCCTGATGATTGATACACGCACGTTGCTTGCTTTGCGTCAACTAGATGCCACAGCAGAAGAGAAATCAACCTGTGGAAAATTAGTATACATCACATAATTCTCGCTCACATCACAATACAACATTTCGTTACCAGTATGGCATTTTCCTATTTGAATGCCCGCTCTTTCCTCTTCCATATTTTTTTTACTTTTCGACGTCGGGTAAACTTTCAATATGAAAAATAAGTATTCTAACTTGATTTGAATTGTTATCGAATATTTCGTAGTCATTTTAGTTGATTTTCCTTCGCTGCGAAAATGACTGAAGGATAAACTTGTTGTATTTTGCCAAGCAAAATGGAATACCTTTGAAGATGTTCTTGGAATATATTCAAAATAGTCTTTATGAAAACTGATACGAATTGAAATCCTTTCATCTTTTCTGCTAACGTACTCGTCAAGTTTCAACCATTGAAGCGCCAATAATAATGAGGGCGGATCGTTAAGAGCATCGAGTTTCGCTCTGACGCCAGCCAACCGTTTTTTCTTCTCTTTTCGATACAAAATGCAACAATTGGTTGGTGTACACATATGCTTCAAAATGCACGATTCAATATTTTAACTAACGCCAACCATTCGAGATATGTTACGTTGTGACCTTTAACAAACAATGAAAAAAACACACACACACAGATTTTTTGTCACATAACAAGCACAATGTGCGCGAATTGAGTCGTCTCTCATTTCAGCCGTTGCAAGCACTAAGGCTATGGAAATTTCCCGACCGCGACAGGTAGCGATAAATAAATGCAGATTTACAATATTTTTGAGTCACGATGATAAAATGTGGCGGCAGAAAAAAACAGTTCAAGTGTAGTAAATTGCTGTTTGTATAGGCTATTCATGAAATACGCCTGGTTATAAATTTGCCTCAAAAGTGGCCGCGGTAGAAAAAGAAATTAAGTAAAATGTATATTTCCGGGGCTCGATGGCAAATTAATAAAAGTGATAATTTTGGCTTCGTTGGAATATTGAACGAAAAACAAAATATTGATTCATTAAAGCCATAAATTTTATTGGCCACAACACACAACAGAGATTACAACAGCAGTTGCAACAAATAATTTCACTTCGTTTGCATACTACGCGCCTCGCGTTGATGGTGGCGATGGTTATGGCGGTGATGACGGGTACGCAATAAACATAATAGCGCGATTAAATCATTCATTGATTTGCAGCTTGAATATCATCATATCATGGGCCGTGGATAGTGGAAGAAAAGGCGAACACGATGGAAATGTGTTTTTCAAGCACGCATTAAATGAAAAACTGCGCCAAACGTAATAAATTATCGGGATTGCTTTTGACGCACTTTTTATCAATTGCTCATCGTATCGCATGGCTTTTTGCGTTTAGAATATTTTATTTGTACGATGCGTACTCGTTTGACAAACACCAGAGCACGATAAACATGTTTAGAATTTTCGTTAAATAAAAACACATCCACCGAACGGTGAAAGCATGGTGTTAGATGAGCTGTTTCAATGATGAAGAAAAAAAACACATTTGATTTGAAGCCCATCGCGTACCATTCCATCAATCGATTGCCATCGCACGTGCACCTGACCATTTTCCATGTTTGTTTGATATGTCAGGTGGTAAAATTCAAAATTACAAACGAACATGCTACGATTTCGTCGAGGAGCCTCCGCATCCATTCGCATCCTATTTAAATTAATTTCCATTTGCTGCCAAATCCTAGTCGTTAATCGGATTTCAGCTACTTTGTTTCGCTTTGTGGGTTTCTGTCTTTTTATTTGCATTTCACCATCAAAATCGCTACGATTGAAATTCAATACAAACGAGAATACAATATTCAATCCTAATTCTAGATTAAAAAGTAATTCGGTAAAATGTTTATTGTTTAAAATTGATTTTAATGTTTCAGTCAATAGAAATGGAGTACCAAATGATCGTGTTTGCTTTCGTGGCGTGTATCGTATTATCCGTATCAAATGTGTCGACATCAAAAGAGGTCGTGAATGCGCCCGCACTATGCGAGCCCGGAATTGTTGAAGGCATGCCACCCCATATCCAAAAAGTATGCAATGCACTGCAAAATTCCAACCAACTGTCATCGGCACTAAATCAATACATTCACAATGAAGCTGCTGGTAAGCTGTTCTATAATTTTACATATTTTTTTTTCGTGGAAAACTAATCGTATTTGAATTTCTTTTCAAAAATAATTAGCATTACTGTATCGACCTGAGGATTTAACATCGCCCAATTCACCAGCTGGAAAGCGAACTGATGTCGATCATGTGTTTTTGCGATTTGGCCGAAGGCGTTAAATTAATATCCAATCTTTCCCCCCTATTTTGCTCCAGCCGTCACAACTAACTATCGCCAACTGAAAAGCACACTTATGCTGTTTCCGTCAACATCGTCTTCTACTACATGAAATTGCAAAAAATAAAAAAAACACAAACATTTCCCATGTATGCAATCGATAGAGAAATTTTCATCATTTTTATTTATTTATTCATTTTATTCAAAACTTATTAAGAGATTAGAAAAAAACAAAGTCTCACTATTGGCATGTATTTTCTTATGTTCCAATGAATATTTTTGTGGTTTTGAGAAGTGGAGATGAGAGTTGAGAGAGATAGATAGAGAGAAATTGTCGTTTCTCCAGCCAGCAAAGCCGAAGAAGAAAAAGTAGACAAATCTATGACATAACCAGAAAAATTTCGTAAATAATTGATCTCTGTACTATTATTGTGTAGAAGAAATGAAGAAAAAAAAAAACAAACTAAAAATGTATTTCTAAATTATTATTGTAAGCAACTACAAATTACTAACAAAACAAACAAACCAAAAAAAAACACCTTTGCAAACATTATACTTCAAGGACACCACACATCGCACACAAAATTCAACTGCACATTCAAAACCACCTCAGATTTGTGTACTTCATTCACATTTATTATTCTATCTATTTGTGGTTTAAAAAGAAAACGTGTTGTTCTATATATATTGATTTTATTACTTAAAACACACACACACTTTTAGACCCTAGCCAACAGCATTCTACACTACACTTACACTATTTAATTCAATGTGTATTTTAATATACGAACCAATTCCGCATTTATGGAATTTTAACTATAGCATTTAATCTTTTGTGTACTTTTTGTGTGTGAGACTTTAAGGGGCGTTGATAAAAAAAGATTCCGTTCCGATTTTCCAGTCATTTCCCGTAGCCATCAGAGTCTACATTCAGTCGGAGTTTGAGAGAAAGCCAGTACCATTTTTTCACCGCTTTTTTTCCTTTCCAATTCAACTTCATTTTATCGAGAAATAGATTTTACGTGTACTTACTTTCCATATTATCTACGATTTTCTTGAAGAAGAAACAAAAAATCGTTCAATGTTATGCATTTTCAAATACGAGTCTATTCTGTTCATGCTTGAGACCATCACCCAACAAAACAAATGACAAATTGTAATATAAACTTCTATTTATTGAACATGAAATACCAAACATTTAAATAAATACATAAAAAGAAGAAAACCAACTATATAAATGTAGCATATTCTATATGGCATTATTTTCTTGAATTATTTCTTGAATATTTGTGTGTATGTGATTGGTTCATACGTGGCGCTCAGACTAAATCATTTACGTCATGAACAACAAATAGATTGCTACTTTGCCAATGGGCGACGGGAAAATTACTTTTGAAAGGTTTGGAAATACTTGACTTTTGAATGGTTTATACGTGCGCCATTAGCACACATAGGTTTTTTATGTGGCAAGACATTGAAATGTGGTGTTTATAAGGTTTGTGCCATGGCTTATTTGGTTAAAGAGTTTGCCCAATAAACAGGAGATCGTGTGTCGATGAACATATAAGAAGCCTCCATGGCTCAGTGGCAGAGCGTCTGTCTAGTAAACAGAAGGTCGTGAGTTCGATTCTCACTGGAGGCAGTTTCCATTTTTTTATTTTCTTCATTTTTTTCTATTTTCACACATTTTTTCTTAAATGTTCATGTTATTCATTCTGAATTGTTTATTTTTTTTATTTAAAAAGTAAAAATGTCATATAAGTACACTGTCAGTGATGATAGCATAAATTCAACGCAGATCAACATACGGTGATTTTGTTATTGTGCTATAAATAGAGTTCCACGTGTTTTCATGTTCAATAATTTCAAATATTTCATCATTCCGACTCCCACCGGAGAAACTACACAGCATTTTTGGTTGAAAATATGGGTCATATCTTTTTTATTCTAATCTTCATCTACAATAAACCAGCCAAATTTTCATTTTCTTTTCAATGAAGATTTTCACACGTACAATCAAAAAATGTTCGAATTGTTGTAAATTTTAGTAGATAAAATATCGAATAATGAATCGGAACATGGGAACGTGTTTGACGCACAAGCATTCATCGATGTTTAAGTGTTGTCTTGCAAGGAATGATTATTATGATTATTTGGAGTTACGATGTTCAGCAAAGTCTGGCCAAGATTTACTATTTTCTAAACTCGGGAAATCCGTGATTTGGGCTTGATTCACGAAATATGATTTTTCCACTACGAAAGAGTGGATTGTTTTGGGCGCTATACCTATAAAAGTTGTAGATATTGTGCTTTAAATGAAAAAAAAAATGCCTTCAGAGAGAATTGAACTCTCGGCCTCCTGTTTACTAGACAGGCGCTCTGCCACTGAGCTATGAAGGCTTCTTATCCGTGGTCTCTTATTCCACTAAGGCGCTTTAACCAACTAAATCACGGAACCGATATCTTCTCAAAAATTAATTCACGCCGATTTCGGTTCTTCTTTTACATAATTTGAATTGAGTTTGCGTTTTGTTACTCACTCATCCTTTCACTTTTATGTAAACATATGTTAATGCCAAGTTCAGCTTCAGGTTTAGTAATGAAATCAATTTAAAAACCACTTGCTTACGGTTTTTTTAGCACTAGATGAGTATTAGAGCGATTTTTTAAATTTGAAATGATAATAATTTGCCTAGGATTTAATAATATGAACCAAGAGATGAGGAGAGTATATAGACATAATGAAATTGATTTTTTTCCATTGACAGATAGATTGATTTGATCAATAGATAGGTATTGATGATTTATTATTTTTCATACACTTCTTGGTGATGTTTTGTTTTCAGACAACGAACGACCAAAATTGGTTAGCCAGCGGTTCTTTTTCAAACTCGATACAACTGACATAACTCGTCATTTCAAGGTAATAGTCAACATGGTCCACATAAGAACCGGAATCTAATTTTCCATATTATTTTCAAGTTCGCACCGTTTATTCATCAGGAATGGTCAGATCACACAGCAAATACAACAGCGAGCACAACTACCATTTGGTTTGACGCAAACTCAGAAATTCTGAGTCAGAATATACATATACACTTATAATGTAGAAGTTGTTGAACTGTCAGCAATCATTTGTGGCGGCGATACTTGACAGTTCGATCTGCCAGTTCAACAAAAAACACATCGTATTAGGTACTATTGGTTTGACTTAAGTAGCTTGAATGTAAGTCAAGTAACAGTAAAGTACTGAGCTTCATGCCAAGTCTACTGTTAAATCTAAACCTTAATGATTTCTACAAAAATCAATAGATGGATTTAATATAATAAATAATAATGTAATTTGGGATTAGGGTCTTGCATTTGCCCTTTGAGAATGATCAGGCAATTTTTCAACAAGAAGCCAATGTGTGAGTAAATCTCATTTGAACTTATTTGAAATCACATCGAAATAAAAATGTGTTCGCGTTATTTGCCCTCACGAATGAATCACAAACTTCCAGGAGTTTGCATTTTTTTTCGAATCTACCCTAAGTTCGAGCTCAAGCATTACACATTTCAAAATGATTTTAAAGGAATTTTTTGCGTTGTATGGAAATAGCTATCAAATATAGAAACATGTAATTGAGTGGCACTTGAGTGCCAACTATAAAGACGAATGAAAGTTAATGTGACGAGCAAACAAAATGGAAACAATTGCACAGATATTCGGCGACTTTGTGCAATTGCGCTTCAGAAAAATGTGCGGCTGGTGGCACCAATCGAACTTCCTTATTGCAAAGAAGCGGGGTGTACGCATGAAATTCATGCACCCTTCCAGAGCCGTCGAATTCAAATTTTTGGTCGGAAGAATGTGTATTGTAAAGGTACGGTTGTGCGCTTCCATAACCTCCACATTATGCCGGCACTTGTCTCACTCACTGAAAACCATTTGACATTTTGCATTGATTGGACTGACCACAAATGACTCCAATTGTCCCACAGTTTGTTTCGGTCGAAGCGATGAATTCGAACCTACGGTGCAAGTGGGTGATGGCTTCCGGTTCATGTGGCCATTATACAGCCGCCGCTGCGCCCAATCGTCGTTGCCTTCGAGCACCAGTGCATAAATGGCCGACACATTTCCTATCTGCGATTTTTCTTTTTCGGGGCTATACACGAATTCAGACAGGAGTGGTTCCAAATCGCTGTCAAGTGGAAGAAATTCATGAAATAACACACGAATATCATGGAGAGCCGCACAAACGTCGAATTTTCGTGGAACGAATGCATTTGGTTCGGGGATCAATAATGAAGGCAATCGATGCGAGGTTTTAGCCTTTTTTGGTGAAGTTGCTGTTTCATCGGAGTTAACATGTTCACGTTTTCACGAAACCGAATTTGAAGTCGATTTTTGCTAAATAGAACAAAAACAATGCATGGAAATTTTTTTTAATGTAACTTAATAAATATAAACAGTACAAGGGTATGTGGGAATAACAGAACTTCTTTTCATATAATTTTGGTCAAATTAGATCCATAGATGTTTTACTTTATTTATTTACGTAATTCATTTATATACGAGTTAAATCCATTGAAATAAACCGCATATCGAATGGTCAATCGATAACGACAATGACAACATTTTAATTCCAACTAAATTTCAACCAGAGTCAACGGCCACTTTTTTCTAGGGACTCATGAGCATGAGAGTTCATCAGGTAAATCATGTATGTAATGATTCAAAGGAACGATTATTGGATTTATTCTTCACTAGCGATTCCCGCGCGCTTCTCGTTAACTCAATCATCATTGTACATGACTCTCTGAGTTCCATCACATGGAATGATACATGTGACGGCATATTTTCACACGGAACTTCATGTAACAAGTGCTCGGCTCACTGTGATCGAAGTTCCGTGTGAAAATATGCCGTCACATGTATCATTCCATGTGATGGAACTCAGAGAGGATGGTATCCATGTTAATCTCCGTTCCAAGCCCCATCAAATGATACCCATGTCGATTATTCGTTTACAAAAATGGTGTCAATTTGCGTTAACTCTACCACGATGGACCGTGATGGAAGGTCAAGAACTTTCCAACGGTCAAGAAGGTCAAGAACTTTCCAATGGGATCCCAAATCGGATGAAGGCTCAAAATTAGGAAAACAACGGCATGGAAACGCTACAGATGGTCCAAACCGTACTCTGAATGGAAGTATATTTAAGCATCACGTGAATTTGATAAACTCAACACGGAATCGTACAACGCACACGTGGACAAAATGAAATCGTCACTTAAGCATGATGCATCAAGATTCTGGAAATATGTAAATTCGAAGAAAAGCACTAACAACAAACCAAATAAATTTCTTCAGTAGCAACTACGATGACTCAACGACTAAAGGCGTTCAACAATCGCCCACCAGCGAGTCACAGCAATCTGAGAATTTTCAGCTCGACATCAATTTTGTGCTTGAAGAGCTACAAGCCGTGAACACCAAGAAAGTTACGGGTCCCGATGGTATGCATCCGATGATACTGAAAAACTGTGCGAGTCATTTGGCGGCTCCAATCCCCGAAATTTTCAACGAATCATCTGGCGTACCACAGGGAAGTCATTTCGGACCCACACTATTTTTGTTATTCATCAATGACATAGTGGATGAAATGAACGACGTGTTCATTTCCTTGTTCGCCGATTATGTAAAAATCGCCAAAATACTGAAGTACTACAGCAGACCATCGACAAACTGTACGTTTGGTGCGACGTAAACTATTTGGTGTGCAAATAATCTACTCAAGCGGGCGTCTCGCAGTAGAATAAAAACAGCCTGAGCGACGGATCTGATCCGTACGGGAGTATACTCCCATTCAATCCATAAATTCATAACCCAACTCTCCCGCTTTAGAAAGAAGGACTCGAAATGAAACAGACATAATTAAAGTACTTGCGCCCTACTTGAAAAATGCTGATTCCACATTGAATTTCATTTGATTTGTATTTTCAACGTATGGTTAATAATTCAAAATGATTGAGAATTCAATTCAATTATTCATTCAATTATTCAAAAAAACTTACATCCATTGTCAAAGATGTCTTTTAATCTGTGACACTGTGTTATATTTATAGTTTCCAGATTTTTTTTTTTTTTAACGCACTATATTTATTTATCACCAAAATAGAATGAAATATTTCGCAACACTTATTAACACGACCTGTTCTGTTCAGATGTCTAGCGGCTATGATATCATTACACAACAATATGGCGACTTACCCGAAATTCATTCATTAAATAGTAACGGTTATGCTGCTGTCACCGAACACAACCGAACAGCTCAAATCGAACGCTTTAGTTCTTAATTCGCACACCAATTTGACAAAAGGTCGCTGTCAAACAACGGCACATTGTGCAACTAACTATATTCAAACGGAAGAGTACCAAATTAAAAGAAAAAGCAAAGAAAAAAACAAACTTCTGTCTACTATGCAATGAGTCTTGTTTGCTTATTTTTTGGCTAACTTCACACTATCTCCTCCCAAAAGAAAGAAAAGAAGAAAAGTAAAATGAAATGAGAAGCACACGGTGTGAATTTGAGCCTGTTCACTGTAAACAGATACTTTCAATTTGAACCACTCTGGCATTGCCCATACGGTAATGCAATTATGTTGTCAAACATTGCATTGTCAGGCAGCTCATCGTCAAGACCATTCCATACAGACTGTGGCGAATGTGGAATATGCGCCTCAAAGCGGACATTTCATAAAAATCAACATTTTTCTTTTATATCGCACTGGTTCAATCTCAACTCGATTACTGCGCCATGGTATGGCTTCCATTCCAAAAAATCCATAGTGACAACATGGGCATATCGGCACCGGAATCTCTGGGGGTCGAAAAAAGCACGGACAGACAAACTGCCAATGCCCATAACTTTTTCATTTTTGGACCGATCGGGACGCTTAGACCAGCGTTGGAAAGGTGATGAGAAGGAACTTTTCTTCAACCCAATCCAAAATTACCAAAATTAGTTAGCCAGCGGTTCTTTTTCAAATTCATCATTTAAAGGTGGAATATTTTAAAAAAAAACTTACATCCATTGTCAACGATGTCTTTTAATCTGTGACACTGTGTTATATTTATAGTTTCCAGAATTTAGAAAAAAAACGAACTATATTTATTTATCACCAAAATATTTCGCTTCCCGAAACGCATAAATACACAATAGCGATTCTGCACACACAGAGTCGCTGTTTTTTTCGTTATACTTTTCGCACTTACGATGCGCTGCGCGATACATGCATTTATATGTCCCGCTCTTTTCTTTCGATCGACACTCTTCGTACCCAGCTCATTGACGTCGTTTACAAACGACGGCACAAGCGATACACACACAGACATTGTGTTGACACACGAAGAGTGTTCAAAGAAAGAAATGACCGAAACATGTGCATGCACGCTTCGCGCAGCTCATCGTAAATGTGAAGAGTATAACGAAAAAACAGCGACTCTGTGTGTGAAGAATAGCTATTGTGTATTCACGCGTTTCGCTGAACATAACGCGCGAAAAATATTAGATATTTTTGGACTCTGAACATTGAACGCGTTGAACGTTGAACGCAACTCGTGAAAAATATCTGTTATTTTTATGCGATATTTCTATTCCATATGAATAAAAAATATCCCATAGTAATCTCTGGTATTCCAGTTTAATAAAGTGAGAAATGCAATTTATATACCCTTTTGGCTGCTATCACAGTGAATAAATAATCCCGGCAGCGCCTTTTAATTGATGGGTACTTTTTATCTGGTTGACTTGATAGAGTCTGCACTTGCTGCACTAGCAAATCATGTACATATTTACTGGCCGACTGAATTGAAATTTTCGATGCCACAGAGAAAAACAACAACATTATACGACGGTTAAAATCAAGTTCAAGTATTTTCTTTCGATATTTTATTTAAAACGATAATAATCTGTCTACGATTGAAATTTCAATGTAATTTTTGTTGTAACAATAAAGTAAGCATGTCAAGCTAAGCATACAGGTAAAAATGAGACATGGGTAGAATAGGCGCATTAAAACCGATTTTGTTTGACAAAATGATGCATTGCACATGTGACTCGTCGGTTTGTGTGTCTTCAGTGTGCGAATTCAGTTCCTGAAAAATAAGACACAAATACCACGTCGCCACCAACGCTGATCAATGTTTGACCCTGAAAATCGAAATAATGGGATCAGTAAAGCATTCAACTGTTTTCTAAATATCTTCATGATACAAACCTGATTTTTATGAGGATTATCAACCAATGTCAATTCCGACATGTAAAACGATACCATGGCATTTCCACCGAGAGCCGTTACATGTGCGCGAACTACAGCCAACAGCTAAAAATATGCACATGCATTTTAATAAAACGAATAAAAGGATTACTCATCAACACAACACCATTTACCTCAGTAATGAAATTATGAACGAATCCACTGATGCCGCCATTCTCGCGAATCGATGTACTTTCGCGAATGAAGAAGAAATTCAAATTGCCCAAATACTTGTCGATGCGACCGCCGGGAATATAGGTCAATGGCGTTATATCAACACCATAACGTTCGCGTAGCGATGCCTGTAGGGAATAAAAGCCATTCGCAATAGCGGGTGTGGAGAAAGAGAATATTTAAAAAGACAAATCACAAAAAGAAGAAAAAGAGCACACAGAAAAAAACGTCGTATGAGTCTATCGGTTCAAGAGATGTTCGCAACAAATGCAGCAAAGAAATCAAAATGTTAACTTATCACTCTCGTAAGTACATGTTTATCTAGACGTAATGAACGAAACAGTGGCCGTGACGGTGATTTACTCTTAAGTTTTAACGATCCCGTTTCTTTAAGATACTGATTTCTAACGTGACTAGTACTACTAACCGCTTGCGATGAATATGATTGATTATTTGAATGTTCGGTTATGTGCTCTTCTTCCAAATTGAAAATCAATTCGTCGTCGGTCAATGTTTTGGCACACGCTTGCATTTTACGCCGGAACTTGAGCTTATTCGGCTCGGTCAAACCAAGCGCAATGCCATTGACAAGTATTTGAAATTCATCCTGAAAATTGGTGAAAAAAAGTAGGAAAAGTTAGTCTTTAATTGGAATAGGAAAAATTAATTGGTGTTGAAAAACTGACCCCTTCAGGTAGATCCAATCGAAATTTCAAGTCACATATTGCGCACGGGATCATTGATCTCAGTTTAAAGTAGATCGTCTGCAACAATCGCAAGAAGTGCTTCGGAAATGTGCCTGCCTTTTGACTGTTTGGGAATTTAGCACGCCAAACTTGGGTGAACATTTGTAGATTTCGTGCAATTTCAAGATCAACTAGCCCCGGTAGTGATTGTGTGTTGACGACGTGAAAACCTTCCGGCGCACTTCCCTCTAAAATCAACGAAATAATTTCCAGATCTTCAACGTCGTCGATTTCCAAAATGCAAATGTCCTTATTTCGTGCCGGAACATCCACATCTTGAACGTCATCTTCAGACTCATCCGAAACGTCTGACTTCAAAGGATTTCCAATGGAATCCAAATCCTGTAGAAAATGAACGTAAATTCTTGATCAATATCGAATAATTTCAATGTGCGTGTCGTTCACATACGCCATAAACTTTGAGTTGATAGATTTCGCGATTTCTATTGACGGCTTCCTCCAGCGATCGATTTAGTTCCTGGATCTTCTCAACATTGGTCCATGAATTGCCTTGAACAATTTTCGGTATGTTTGGCGGTGGTAGAGCCGGTAAATAAACACCAGTTCCTGTTCCAATCAGTGCAATCATCTTTTCACCAATTGAAATGGTGATTTTCATACCGAAAATCGCGTTCATGCCTTTCGTCTTCAATTTGTTCACCAGCAATCGTTGTAAATCATACTCCAAAAATGGTAGCGCATCGGAAATTTCCTTTGCATTCGATTCAGACTTTAAATCCTTTTTGTAGCGACAAGCTTGTGCATGGATCAAACATCCGCGGCCGATGATTTGCAAATTATCTGGTATTTCCACCGTGGTTAACAGTACTTCAGGGACTTTTGCTTTCCTGCATCGAAAAAAAAAGAACGGCGATAAATATTCATTTTGACAAATGGAAATTCACTATATTCACACATTATCCAACTCACTTGCAAACTGCACACTTTTTCATTTTTCCGTTGACCGGTAGCGTGAATTTGCTATGGGGAATATGGCATAGAGAACATCCCGATGGAATTTGTGCGGTCGTTTCGGAATCACTGTTAATTCCTTTCTGTGTGCTAAGGTTCATGTGCTTCAAGTCTTTCGACAGATCACGATCCGTATCTTTTGGTGTCACTAACAAAATCGCCGCTGATGGTGGCTTACTGGCTTCACTCATTGTAAATTGTGTATTGATGACTGCGGCCGTTCCAATTGCAGATAAAACACAAACATCATCGCTGAAATTCAAAAATGAGATATTTTTAATTGAAATTCAGTTTATCTTTTTGATTGGAAAAAGCAACGAAAAAAATTGTCTTCTCTTCTGCAAATAAATTCAATGAAAACTCACGAGATGCTCGTAATTTCGATGTATCCCAGAACAACGTTGCAACCGAGCGCCCTAGCATGTGATCGAATCTCCATTCGCAGTTCTGTCCACCAAAAATCGCGAGTTTCTGGTTCGTCTGGATTTGGCACACGTTCCAACAGCTTCACCGATCGCGCACACACCGTTGATCCCAATTGCAGAATAAATCCGATTGGATATTTGCATAGTGTTAAAAATGGATATTCCAACATGTCCAAATTCTCCAAATTCAATGGCGTTTTAAGATGTGGCGTACCAGCCAAACGGAATATTCCAGCCGTTGTTCTCGGTTCTGTATTCAATGAACATCCTGGAAAATGCATTCAAAACCTTTGTCAATTTGCACATTTAATAGAATGGATTTTGATTTAGTTTTTCGAAAGAAGAAAAAACATTCATGTTAATTGAATTGAATTCAATAGAAATATTAAATTCAGTGGGGCAAAACATAATTGAGGCTAATTCATGCTTTCTATAACTATATGTACCGGTGATTACTTTGAACAGCCATGCATATTTTATATATAAACACTTGAAATTGTTGTTTGAAATCGGTACGTATGGGTTTTTCAATTTCGGGTACATTGATTCACACACCAAATTTTTTTTTTTAGATAATTATCTAATTCGAAGTGAACGGTTAAACGACGGAAAGAGATACACATCAATCCACATTGCTGGGATACATCGAAACATCAATTTAACAACACATCCGTCGATTTATACTCACGTTTTCGGGTCGGAGCTGATTTGTTTTTCGAATTTATTATTTACATTGTGATTTTTATTTTTTCAAATAAATTCAATTTGATTTTATTTTTGGTCGATGGCAAAATGTCGGGTGGAAAATAAATGACAAATGTTATTGGAAATGCTATTTTTGTTCGAAATAAATCTAAGAAAAATAATTCTAATTTCATAAAAAATAAATCGCATGACTACACTGGGCAGAAGCTAAATTTACATTTCGTTCGGAATCTCTAAATGAATGAACGGAAATGTTGGCATTAGTCGGTATAATTTTATATTCCACTCGTTTCTCGCTAAATACAATTCAAATAAATATGGATTCATTGAAAACTAAGAGAAAAAAAATAGAAAACGGTAATGCTATAAAATTCCAATTGCATCACTGGATTAAGAAAAATAATAATTGAAAATAAAAACGCAAACAAAGGCGATCAAACGATGTAGCGAAAAATTTTGGTTCAAAGCCAGAAACCAAGGAAAGAAACTAATTTCAAAGTAATGAAAAAACAATTCGAAATCGAAAACTTGATTTTGATATGGTTGACATTACCTTTGGGTGTGACACTCAAGTCCGAGTCAGATGATCGGCGGCAGATCGTTTCCTTATCATCTTTACCATCTTTGCCCTTGGATGACGATGAATTGGTGGTGGCTGCGCAATTGGAGGCGGTGTTATACGATGATGATGATGTTGGCACTTTGGTTGGGCTGGACGCTGTTTTCGTCCCGTATGATTCGGCCCGAGCATGTTGCTTACTGCCTGCTGCTGCTCCATTCACCGGTATGCTCTTTTCATCGTGCGATCTATGTTTATGATGTGGATCATGTGCAAGCAATTTAGTTTTGTTAGTTTGATTAATCAAATCACCAGAATGACTATGAATTAGTGGATTATTAATAATTTGATTAGACTTTCGCTTCGTTTTGGGCGAAAGTTTTGTGTTATCAATTGACACACAGCTATCGGGTATAAGGCATTTCGAATCGATATGGGTATTTGGATCGATTTCGGGAGTTTGGTTTTTCATTTGATTTTGCTTGTTGCACTTGGTTAGTACAAATACGGGCATCTCACCGGTCGACTGACTAGCACTGCCGCCGTCAACCTCAGTTAAAATATGAGACATGTTAAGATTATCGCAAAACTTTGTGTATGATTTTTCTGGGTTCTTAATTTTATCAATTTCTTCGCCAGTTTTTGCTCTTTCCGCACATTCCACATTTGACTCAGTTGTTGTTATTTTCGCCGTATGGTCTTTTTCATGCATTGAATCTGGTTTTACGTCTACGTTGGCGATGTTGGTGGCGTCTCCTTCATCGAAACTTTTCGGATGCACACCAACTCCTTCAATGATATGCGCGGTTTCATTGAGCATCGTTTTCATTGCCGAATCAAACAGACTGAATTTATCTCTTTTTGGTTCTTTTTTTGCCACTTTGACTTCGTTCGAATCGTTTGACCGTCGTCGAAATGGTGCAGCCAGCAATTTTTTGAACGATTCAATGCTCGAATTCCGCTTTTCCTCGAACTTAACATTTTCGACTTGGTCAGATGTAGGAACCGCTTGAGCTCCCATTATGCCTGCCTGTTCCATTAGCATCGTTTCCATTGCTGTTTCCAATAAACCATGTTTATTGTTTATTGCACCATCGGGCGTGGCGTGTGGCAAGTGCAAGTGAGACAATGTCTCGGTAATGGTTTCTTTGAAATCTTGTAAGATCGAATTGTGACCCATTTCACTTGTGTTATCATCGTCGGCCGTGGTTCCTGGTTGTATCCAATTCTGCTCATCGACATCACCGGTGTCGGCAAAAAACCGGTGGAGTTGATCTTCTGAACTGTCATTTTCCACCAGGCACGTTTCCATGCGCTTTTTGTTCTTTGGGTTCATGATGCGCGTGGCACCGGTTTTGATCGATTTTTCAAATGACGATTGTCGCGTCAACGGTCGTCTCTCTTCTCTCTTATTAGTTCCTTCGTTGTCGGAATCGCCATGGTTGTCGTTTGACGGTTGAATCCATTCGTTTTCACCGGACTGTGCTTCCTCTTTGGCTAACACTGATTTCACCACCCTGAATTTTGAGGAAAAAAAACATTAGAATAATTACATTTTGTTTCGAAGAAAAAGTAATCGAGCGCTTTAGAATGATTGCGACTTACATGCTGATTGTATCGGCATCGATCATAACGACTTCATCGCCCAATTCTGAGCCATCGTCGTCCTCAGAGCTAGTTTCCGAAATTATAATCGATGACATTGAAACGCCACACGATAAATTGCCCTCCGTCGTTGCTGCTTTCAGATCGATGATACTGTCGCCAACGCTGATATTCAACTTATTTTCAACGTGGTGATGGTTAGGACCATAATGGTGTTTCTTCGAACTATGTAAACTGGTCATAGAATTGCCAACATCCGATCTTGATATTGGTTTAAGTGAGCTGGGTGAAGTTGGATCTGAATTCTCAGCTATTGACTCGAGACTTGGTGCGGCCATCATTGATCGAACCAACAAAGTAGTCATTCCAACGCCATCATTCGATGGACGTGATTGCAATTTGGCTTGTGAACGCTTCACTTTCTTAATTATATTCGATCCAAGTTCGGCGGCTGAATCTCGAAACGAAACAGCCGGTTTATACAATGACATATCCGATTGTGACTCATGCATCGCAGTCATGTCATCATGCTCGGTATTCATCAACTTGATTGAAGTGACTTTTTTGTTGAGCAAACTTTTCGATGACGATGAAATTCGTTTCATTGCGTTGCGATGATTTGGAACATCATCACGTGATTCCTCTTGTTTGAGCAGATTGCTCAAAGTTTCCAGTTCATCGGGTGGTCCCAATCCGTCTGTTTCTTCTTCAATCACATCAACCTCTTGATTTTGACGCACTTTCTTACTGATTATAATACTCGGGGCACGTGTCATCGTTTCATCCGGTTCAATGCCTAATATTTTATATACAATATCTCCGCTTGACGGATGCGCACTGAATGATGGATCAAAATCGAATATACTATCGTTTCGCGTCGCGTCGCTTAGCGCCAAAAATTCTAAATACTTTACGGTTTGTCTGTTGAGTTATCGAAAATCACACACAAATACACACAAAATCAAATGAGGGTTTAGGTCAAAACAAACACACACAAATTGGAAGGTCAAACAAAAAAAAACAGAAAATCCAAACCAAGTCATTTTTTGGGAGGATGCGAAACAATTCGAGAAAGAAAAAACACTGAATTAGATTGACTAGTTGAAATGAAGGCTGCAGTGAAGACTCCGAAGACTGCTACTGTTCGATATGGATTGATTTAAAGTAGAAATGTAAAAAGGCTCATTTTCGCTTACTCTTCAACAAATGCTGACTTTTCGGGAAGCGGTTGCTGAATTTGCTCTTGTATTTTAATCAATGTGACAGCTGTACCGATGCCACGAGCCACAACGCCAACATCGCCTTCCAAATCGAAGCATTGTGTGTATCCAATCACGGCATTCGCTCCCAGGTCAATCGCTTTCAATCCAATCTTTCGCTGAACCTTAACACAAAAACAATTATGGTCAATATAGAAAACATGTTTTTTATATAGAAAATTGCATTATTTCTTTTACCTGCGCTGATAGCTTGAGAAAAACAACTTGTCGCGCTTCATTCGACGCACGTGGCGTTCGTATTTTGTCAATCCATTGATACTCCGGGTCATCATTCACAACAAGCTCTTCGACGAAACCGTGAATGATCTGTGCATGATAGCCATACGGCACGATTGGCGCTAAAAATACATAAATATACACACACAAATTCAATTTGACATGCCGTAAATATTTAATGTGTCTGCCAATACATACAGTGGAAAAACTGTACACCGCACGAGCTCTGTCTAAACTTGTTTACGTCCGAAAATAGATCCACTTTCACGATAATATTGATTTCCCCTCGAATGCCGTGCACTGTGAATGCAATTGAGAGAAGAAAAAAAAACCAGACGAATCAGTAAAATGGAATCAGTGTTTTGTCGTTCAGAAAAATACAATTGCCAAATTTGAAGACTACTACTCACTGGTGTCGTAAACGGGTAGCCAGCCAGACATAACGGAGCCTTTGCCCGATTTTAGCTGTGTCGATGCATCGGCTAAACTGGGCAACAGCAACGGATTCAAACTAATATTCACTTTGCCAATTGCGTCGTTGGCCGAATATGTGTCGTGGTCCATTATTCGTATTTGCAATGGCTCATCTTGTAAATCAGCATCGTCGACCTTGAATTAAAAATATATTTTTTGATTTTTATTACTTCAAAATTATGTTTCGTTTTGAGTTGATTCATTTGAAATGATAGAATTAAATGTCTGTCATTTAGTTGAACATTCAAACAAAATCGAACAATTGTACCTCAAAACGAAACCAATCGGAGTTCCATTGTGGATGCAGCGATTTGCGATAAACGTCAGTTTTGCAAGTGGTCGAACCGAATTTGATTTCAACGTAAGCATCGGTTGTATCGCTGCTTCGATCCATGACTGGCAAATTTCGACCAGCCAAAATTTTCACTCTCACTTTGCCAGGCATTTTATTCGTTTTTTTTTTAAATTAAAAATTGAACAAGTGAGCAACTGATTAAAAAAATAGAAAAAAACTTTGTCGTATGCAATGGGCGTGCGGAGCATCACTTTTTTCAATTTTGATTATTTCACATCACTTGTCAAACGTGAAAAAAATCAAAACTATTCGTTCCTAAAAACAATGAGCCACTTGAGATTCGCTCTGAATAAACAACTAATTCACCAGGATAAACAAGGTTGTTACGTAAAGACACAACAAGATTGTGTGAAATATTCTTTTAATAACTGCATGATGTATTGTGTTATTAGAATCGAAAGAAGAAGCAAAAACAAAAATCGTCGCTCAAAGCAATTTCTAATTACGTAGTTGGCTTTCAGTTGGATGTACAACTGATAACACTTTGCGTTGACTCTTTGCAAATGACTAGCAATAAATTAAAGCGCACTTTTTCACCAAATCGATACAAATAAATGGTTTTCCGTCGACGATTTTATTGAAAATGATTTTTTTTTTTCATAAAGAACTGTCAAAATTCTTTCAAGTCTGTCGCGGAGACCAAGAAAAAACGACGGAAACGGTCGACGTATGTGACGCAGGCGAAAGAGACAACCGTATGTTGCCATTTTAACCACTTTAGAATGTATTTGCGTTTTGCTGTCTCTATCGGTTGTTTATGTTTCTGTCGCATAACAAATGGCTTGCGTGCTGCCGCAACGATCTCAAACCTATTTTTACACTCACATGGCACAGCCGCGTCTGATCAATACCAGCGCGTAAAGGCACAATCGAACCAAATGCCATCGTGTAAACGAATGAAAACAAACCACACCAAACCGGTGTCTTGGATGCGACCGCATCGTCTCACGTGCACACCGCACACTCAGCACATTCGAATGCATACACACATTTTCTGTTGAATAGAACCTCACAGCAGAACGTTTCTAAATTTGAAATTTTGAAATCGACTGTGAATAAATAGTATTATTGGTTGTAAATCAATGAAGAGGAATGTATTGGTGCCAATTATTTGTAGCTTTCTCGTTACATTTGGCAAATAAAAAAACAATCGAAACGAATTTTGCCTCGCTGAATGGTATCGGCAATGTATGAATGGACAAGACAAATGGCTGGTAAAAAAAATTTACGACCCTACAAGAAATGTCGATTCATATGCTCAAATAGAAATTGAAAAAAGAATGAAATAAAAAAAGAAAAAAAAAAACGAATTGGAGATGGAGGGCATCGATCCCTCTACCTCTCACATGCAAAGCGAGCGCTCTACCATCTGAGCTACATCCCCTTGGTGTAAATGCGACGTGATGCACTTATCACTCACATTAACCACTTCGCTCGATTCTATGTGAACCATGTGAATTTCTACTAAATGTTGATACGGCATTGCTTCGTCATAAATTATGTGCTTTGAGCATTTGAGAGTTTTTAGGGAAATTTCATGCTTTGGTTCAAAGCGATTTCGAGGAAAACTAAATGCAATTTATTACAATTTGCTTTCAGAACAACAGTCTTGACATTTTAACTGGTTGTACTTAGGGTGGATCGATTTTTGAAATCGCACAAAATCGAAAACGGTTAATGCGTGTTCGATTTGGCACCTCAAAAGAAATAACTTTTGTTCTGGGACATATGCCGAAAAGTCCCACTATCCGCCGAATTTTTTTGTCTGATTCATTTTTTGAGGATTTTTCCAGACTATTTGTC